TCATAAAAATCTATACGCTAGAACTAAAATTAAGTAGACTGGACAACAAATATTTATAATTATCTGCATCACACCCAGGGCTATTAAGGGGGCGTGACTGCGCAAACCAGCAGAAAAGGCATCAAGCATTTCTATGGAGGTATTTTTTCAATTTTTTTTTTTCTCTTGACACCACAATTGGGCTATACTGCAGTACACAGAGAATGTTTAGTGCTGGAAGAATTTTCAAGACAATTTTCGTGGTTGGAAGCACAACAAATTTTCTCTACCAGGCCTATTCAAAACATTGTGGTGTTGACCCATAGGTTATTTCCAGAGTGATTTCCCACTGGATAGGCAGAGATTACACTAGTAGAACAGGGACAATCCAAATGGATCCACCTTCCTGAACTCCAGTAGAAACCTAGATGCTTGTTTGTTCCATCAAAGTTTATTTGAATGGCTAAATAGCAAGTAATAAAATAAAGAGTCAGCAGAAACAAACTGGTAAGATAATACTTTAGTTGTTAGTTTGAATAATTTGGTACACATGCTAACATTTATCGAAGAAACATAACAATAACATTTTATTGTTTATTTATTTAGTTTGGTATATAATGCACAAATCCGAGGCCAGCATAGGCCAATCTGAATTTCAATTGGTTGCTCCACCACCAATAAAATACAAGTTGAGGAAGCCTGTTGTTCCAATGTCAACACCTCTACACCGGTTTAAGTACTGGAAAATCCAGGGGCCCTTATTATTTACCAGGTCTTAAAGATATTTTTAACAAACCCGTAAATTATAATTTGGGGCTTTTCAAACCTTATGCCAGTCAAGAGAATTTTAAGCTAGTTTCAAGTAATTCTATCCTTTGGCATTTTAATGTGTATGGACCATTAAAGTTATCTCTTGCCAGTGGTGCAAAAGGGGCACTTGTCTCCCAGCAGCAGCTAGAATATCTCTCAGCAAGTGTGAAATCATTTGGTAAGAGTTTATAATGGATAAAACTCTAGCTCTTCTAGGGGTCTAGACCCCTGGCCCTTGGCTCCACAACTGGTGAGTACAGTATTAAAGCATCCAATAACATTTCCTTCAGACCATAGTTCTGATTGCTCTTCCTCCTCCCTAGGAACACAGGTCACGGATTTCCACTCGCTCCACCATCAAAAGTATTTAGTAGCCACCATTGATCAAGCCTTGCATGGCAGAATTGCAAAGGAAATATATGTATACAGTTTACCGTAAACAAAATTGAAAATACATTTGTGTCTACATTCATTCTTATTTGGCAACGAAACTTCAATTTTAGTACTTGAAAGTAACCAATATATATTATGTTGTCACAAATCTTTACAATTTAATCAGATCTATTATTCAGTTCTTTTCAATTCTGTGATAACATACATATAGCTGCTGCCTAAGCCTACGGTAGGTAGGCATATTCTGTTAGCAATGTAAATTTGCTAGTCTATGAAAACCAGGCATAATAAGGGCACCGGACATACAGTCATCATGATGCGTTGGTTTAGGATAACATAGAGTAAGGTGTCTGGTTCCCAAGACTAGTAACTCTATTATGAGATTATAAGAATTTAGTACGTACAGCAGTTGCAAACAGGCCAAATTATAAGTATTTTTATGTGCAGGAATTTAAATGACACATTCACTGATCTTTAGGTGAATTGAGCATTAAAATAAGGCAATTGGCAGTTTGAACAGCACATGGCTGTATCCAAGGTCAATCCAGGTCAAACGACATATACTTATGTTAGGTGTATGTTGGTTTATGTTAATTGACCTTACTATGGGCATGCGCAGTTCGAACTACGAATTGGCTTATTGTATAGTAATGAAAATTGTTTGATGAGGTGGAGGTAAAGCCTACATAACAATTAAATTTTAAATTTCATGCTCAATCATTTCATACCTCTAAAGCATCTCAGAACTTGCAAGGGAAAACCCTCTGGATTTCTACCAGGAGTCATACTGTAGGTGGTCCGTACCATTCAATGAGAGGGAGAAAACTCACTCTGATCAGTCCAACCATAAACAATTTTTTGGCATGATTTGTGTTTGTTCCTATAACAACAATGTTTATTTATATGCAAGCTGAGACTGAATATCAACATTCAAATATTCAATGACGGAAACCCAATAGGGGGTCCAAATGGCATGTTCCCCTTGTCTCAACTCAAAATTTCCAATTTACTAAAACAATAAATAAGTCACATATATCCATCTGCTCCTGGCACCATTCTTTATTTGCTGCATTCATCCCCCTCCTTCTTTCCATGTGTCCCCCCTTATTTTTAAATTCTAGCTGGTCACTTCCCAGTTACTCCATTCAGTCAATGACATGTATCTCATTTCACTTTCTAAAACAGTGTCATTAATTTTTAATCAGAATGTTTTACAAGTGTTTGTAATACAAAGCACTACAATAATTTCTTTCAATATTGTTTCCAGATAAAGAAAATATCTAAGTAAGTCATGCTAAATGGTTTTAGTGATTAAGATACCTTTAATTTATATATTTTTACAAGATTTGCATTGTATCGTTTAATGATACAAGACCTCAAAAAAGGGGTAATTCAAGAATGAATTTCATAAATTTGATTAAAGCAATACTTAAAGATAAGATAATAACCTAAACCACAATACGGGAATGGCCCTAAATGTCCATACTGTTAAAAAAAAAAACTATTAACAACTAATTGAAAGTTTCTTGCATAAGATATTATTTTGTCTTGGTTTTTTACTTTGATTTTGTAATTTTAATTTTGTATATAAGTTTTTATATACTTTTAAACAGCCTTGTGAAAACACATTTAATTTGTGATCAAGTTTTCTTTTTTCAAATAAAGTCATTATTATTATTATTATTTAAAATTTCACAACATAAGGCAATGATATATCATACAAAATGGAATTTACGAATAGAAAGTATATATCACACAATCTTCTACAAATACAGAAACGAAAGAAAAAATATATTTGAGATAAATCAGGGCATAAAAGGACTGGAAGTAAACAAGCCTTGACAAATTGATTGTAAACATGTTTCATCAATAACTGTACAACAATCTTGATTGGCCAGGATCCAAAAACAACATCATAACCAAACATCCACACAAAACACATTGTGCAGCCATTTAAACATATTTAATTAGCAGGGATAAACCACCTATAATCGGCAGTAATAAGGGATCCTCAATGCTTGTGAGAAGTTCTCATGTCATTTCCAGGATTTAATCAAATGCATGGTCATTAAACTTAATGGTGGTATCTGCATAGAGTTTCCCCCACCCAACCCATCAGATCCCTGGCCTCAGATGCCACTTGAGGTATTTAGATTAAAAGTTTACTTTGCTCTTTGCTAATAAATAAATATTAAATTTCCTTTATATGTGATATAAAAGGACACTGTTGTATCACCCTGAACCACAAATTATCTTAGAGGCAAGGGGTTTGTCCTTGGACATTACTGAGGCCCTAAGCAGCTGTTTTGGTTTGGACTCCCTGTCAAACTTGTTTGATTCATGTTCAATAATTATAAAGCTATCACTCTTTGTACTATTGTAAATTGCCTGTTAGCCACTGCAAGCAAGCCAACGAAGGACGAAAAAAAAAAACGGCAAAAAAATTGCCCAATATAACCAAGAAACCTCAGTTCCCTGAACCTCCTCCTGGGTTTCATCCCATTTTATCTCTTTTGAAAATTTTCAGATACCATGCCAGATAATTTTGCTCCCCTTCCTCAAATATATCTTATTAGTCACCCATGTGCTAACCAGTTAGCAGTAATACAAATAATTGATGTATTGTTATTGAAATATATTATAAAGACCGTTAATCACATATTAATGACATTATTTCTATTTCACAAGCTCTTAGCTCTAGGCCTACTGTGGATTCTTCAGGTGATACTTGTACGTACCAAGGGATGTAAATTAATCTAATTGTATGCGAGAGAAAGCCGATTAAACAATTAAAGGCTATGAAGTTTAATTTAAGATACAAAGTTACCACTTGAAATATGAATTATATTACCATAATTGCATATTTTAAAAAATTTCTAACAATTAACCATTCTAGAGACCCACTCCTGCTCTTGGACCACACCAGAAACTCAAGAAACTTAGCCAATTTGATTTGGTCACAAAGACAATAACTTCTTCCAGTGAAAAAAAAAATTGCATGCTGCCTAACGCTTACAAAATAATACAGGAAAAAGGAATAGCTTTAACAAAGGCAAATGAGAAATAAAATTAATCGATAGCACGACTGACAATGTGCAATTACTATACAGTTTTTTGAAATTCTCACTACTTTCTGCAAGCGCCCTTATTGTCTGCAGTAATATCCTTGTTATTGTCAGCTAATTCGGAAAAGGAAGTCCATGTGATCACTCAAATTGAAGCCGATAGTAACCTCTAGAGGGCAGCAGATAATGTTAATGGAAGAAAACTCTGGCCTAACTGTGTACACAGTCCCTGTTTTTATGGTGTATACCCCCAGTAAACATCCCCTTCCTGTAACCATCACTTTGAAGTTTGGAATAAAACTGTTTTGATGGCCAAGGCCAATGTACGTAGCACTTCAGAAAGGTCTTTGCCACCTTCAGCTTATTTTATCAAACGCTCCATCTTTAAATACATATCAAATTCCTGTCTATTTTTCCATTTTTCTCAACTAATTACTTTGTTTTCTGGAAAAAAAGACATACGTAAAATAAAGTAAACAGTGGCGGATTCAGGGAAGGGGACTGAGATGGGCAGTCAGCCACCCGTCCCCTAAATCATTCAAAATTATAACAAAAAAAGGAGAAAATAGGAAATTATATTCAAATTTAAGCCATTTCCGGCCACCTAGAGGTGCCATAATCAACAATTTTCTTACCTCAGCCTAACCATGGTGGGGCTAAGATGGTCTAACCCTGTATGTGTGAAAGTCCTCCCTGGGCCCCCTCTATTTCAAATTCCTGGATCCACCACTTACAAATGAAGGATTGACATACCAGCAGGTGAGGGTTCTTCTTTTTCCGTCATTCCGAGTTGTTCCATGCCCTTTTGAAGGTCGGCTTGATCTACCTCTGAACTGAATGCATCACTAACAAATTCATTGGCTGGTGGACTATCAGGTGGTAGATCAGTAAATGCATCATCAGATGTTTCATTTGCTTTACTTTCAATGGCAATTGGAGGAGAAGGTTCTAAAAAAAAAAAAACAATGAAAATATAACTGGTGCATAGTCTTTGCGTCTGTTCTGCAAAGGACCACAAACCGGAGTATTAAGCTCTGTCTAGACTAACAAATTTAAATTGACAAAAACATGTGATAGGTCATGATGACATCACATCATGACTATATATGGGCATACAACAGTTTTTTGTCAAAGAAAATTTGATAGTGAGGACAGAGTTTTAGGCCAAATTGTGTGTTATCTAAGCAAGACGGAGACTAAATCTTGAAAAAATCTAATATCGGGGTTTTTTTTGGCAAAAATATATTTTGTTACCAAGGAGACCACACTGGTATGTTTGGAAAGGCCAGTTTTCAAGATTTAATAAATTTGATAGCTTAGCTTTTAAGACTGGACTACTGAAATTCACTGTAGAGTGGCCTATTAAAAAAAAGATTTATACACCCTGGAAAAACTTCTGCAGCTAGACTCTTTTTTTCTTGCAAGTCACGTACATACATCTCCCCTAATTTGTGATCTCCATTGGTTGCCTGTACAGGAAAGAATTAAATTCAAACTTCTCCTCTTTGTTTTCAAATCACTTTCTGGCGTCTGCCCTTTGTACATATCCATTTACATATCACTACGTACCCATGTGCGCTTAACAAGATTTTCCAACTCCATCCAACTTGTTCGACCGGTTTACCATAAACGTATTGGTGACAATTCATTCCCTTCAATTGCTGCCCAACTTTGGAATGGTCTGCCTAATTCTCTCAGATCTTGTGATTCGCTTAGGCAGTTCAAAGCACATCTAAAAACACACCTTTTTCAATAGTTCCTCTCACCTCCCTTGATCGTTTTTGTTTATTGTTTTCTTTGTTTTCTTATATTTGTATTGCTTTATTGCATTAGTTAAGTTAGCTCACATGGGTTTGGTTCTATGCAAGCTTTACTCAGGGGAATGTTTCTGACTTACTGTGGAGAGTCGCTTACAGCGCTTTATAACTGGAAAAAAAGGCGCGTAACAAGTAACAAGTTAGAAATGGATTTTACCCTTGTGTTTACAATTTTACCAACCAAAACATGTATGAGTCTCAGTTAGTGATAGGTCAGCAATACCTGACCAGCCTGTGTGCTGAACAACACAACAATACAGTATCTTGTAGGTACAATTATTTTGCAGAGGTGTCGGTTCATGTACATGCAAGGAGACAATCCCCTACTCGTGAATTTGTTAAGTATAAAGTATTAAATAGATTTTTTTTTTCAATAAAATAATTCAGATTTTGAATTTTATAACCTAATACTATATAAACAAAATTGAAGTTACAGAATACTCACCTGTTTTTGATTCACTTGAGTTTTCATCTTTTTTGCTACTTGTTCCATCTTGTTTTACATTCTGTCCATTATTCCCTGAAATATTTTGAAAGAAAAAACTACCATAAACAAAATATAGAAATAAAGACAAAGGTATTATATTTTTGGAGTTATATTGATACTTTTACATAGCACAACCATCATTATGATGTTCATTATTAACAAAAAACAATCATTGAAATTTAATGACAAACAAGAATATCTCAGTATCTTTATTCAATATTCAAATATCAAAGTATAATTTTAAAAATCCATAGTAGCCAAAGGCTGAATTGAGAATTTAATTTACAGATTAAAATTTACAATACAATTATAGAAATACACATTACTTAAAATTATTAGCAATTATACAAAAACAGGAATATCTCGGTATCTTTATTCAATATTCAAATATCAAAATAGACTACTTTAAAAATCCATAGAAGCCAAAGGCTGAATTAAGAATATAATTATGACGACTTGCACAGCGAAGGTTCTGACCCCTAACCTCAAGATTAAGAGTCCAAGCCACAATTGTTGGGCTAACCATTTGCAAGTTCAACAAATGATACCCCATCTAGCAGAGCCTACAACTACCTTTGTTCAAACTGAGATTGGTCATTCACTTTTTGTGGGCCAAATAATGGAACAATTTTCCCACAGATATCAGGATCAGGCTCCACTGATATCTTCAAACAATCTCTCAAGACACATTTAAAAGAATCAAAAAAATTAAGGGATCATTACAGTATGGCATATATTAGAGTTGAAAATAATTGGTTGAGTAGTGAAAATTTCACAACACCTTGCCTACCTGTTGCAGAGGCCAGTGATGTGAGTTGTGATGATTGCTTAATCAAAGAAACACGGTAGAAATAATTCCTCCAGAAATTTTCCTCGGTAACACTTAAATTAATAAAAACAAAAACATCATCTAGAAAGATAGATTATTAAAATGATTTTAATAAAGTTTCACAATCACCAATTAATCACAATTATACTAAATTCACAATAGACACGATAACGACACGACAATGACAAGATCATTGTGTTGTTTATACCATGCATTTTTATTGTGTCTAGTGTAAATGTAGCTCCTGGAGCTCTGGTTAAGTAATAAAGTAAAATGTGTCTGGTGTCAATATATTTGTTCTTCATATAACAAAATAATGTAACGTAAGATTTGTAAGGACAACAGCTGTGGGAATGAAAATATTTACTAGTCACAGTGATCTATTTGTAATGTTACTAAATTTCTTCATGTTTGATTATGGTTTTCAGCAACAAATAAACATTACCTTTTAGGAACTAATTCAAATCTCATTTTGCTCAAATTAGGATCTTCTTGTAGCATTGCCATAGCAACAGGAAAAGAACTGTCAAAATCAAAGTGAAACTGTACTCCAGATGGAGGATTCCTCATAAAATTCCTCTTGTCCTGAAAAATAATATGTACATAAAACATTCAAATCAATAACAATAAAATGATTGTTTATTGGAAGACTTGAATAGTACAAAAGTCATTAAAATAAATTATAAGCAAGGAACTATTTTTAGACTAACAGTTGTTACAAACATACAACTGTGGTTACATATATTCTATTGCATGTGATCAACATTGTTGTTTAAATAATTTTTTTTGTATTACTTTAATTGTATATTGTTTATGTTAACTGTCTTTATTTTCGTCGTTATTTTTGTGCAGCACCATTGTTAAAAAAATGGGTATTAACACCTGCCGGAAATGTATCCTGGGTAAAATGATTTAAATTAAAAATAAAGAACCATTGTTATTATAATTTGTATTAATTTATTATTTAAAGATATTGATCTAAAAGAAGCAGATTTTTTTTACTTTTATTGTTTACAGCGCGCTATTTGGAGATGACAAACGAATGTGGATTGGTGCTCTTTTTTGCAACAAACTGTTAAGAACACGTCCAACCAGGAATGAGGCTGATGACAGCTTAAAAAACACAATATAATAATTTATCTTTAACATAATTTTTTTTTTAATCAACAATGTAATACTGTAGTGCTGGAGGCCAGGCACCTCATTGGCACAACCTATGAATTTATGATGGTATATTTGAACATATAGTATATTCTAAATGTTGCAGTAATCAAGGGGGATCTTGAACTCCTCTTGCAAAATTAATGTTTATCGTTTGTATAGGTAAATTGTTTGTACTTGGTGTTTGAAGCTTTTTTCCCACACAATCGCTTCACGATATCGCCGACAGCTTTCGGTGATGCTGATTGGTCGGTTGAATCATGGAGCCTTCTCGTCGGGGACTGCTACGCAGCACACGATTGCACTAAAAATCACTGTAGCGATAGTCTAGCAATTTTATGGAAACCAGGCTTAATGTACCTTGGATAAAGCTAGAATATGCTCCTTCATTTGTTCCTCTTCATTGTAGCCAACCCATGGTGCAACTGCTGCCTCAGATCGCTTACTGTGTTTCTCCTTCATAAACTTCTCTTGTTCTTTGTTGAAATCGCCCATAAATGTCTATATAAAAACATAATATTGAAATCTAAGAGCCCTTGTCAACAAGCAAGTAAATTGAAATGATGTTGGTAACTCTATACCAAATATTAAACTTGATTAATGTGAACACACCTCAAAATAAAGGAACCATTGGATGCAGACTTGATTCCTTAATAAAAAAAAAAAAAAGAAAGGCAGATGCATCCATCAATACCTTTGTTAAGAGATGTTCTCACTTTTATTATGTTTGTAAATAATTAGTCTACCCAAGTAACTATTCATAAAAAATATATATTTTAATAAAGTTAATAATTATGAAAATATGAGAGAAATTTACAAAAGCCCAAAAATGAGATAGTTAAATAATACACCATATATTCAAATAAATTTAAAGTGACAAAAGCTGAGTGATAACCTACTATTTATCCATACAAGTAGCTGTTTTAGTTATAATATTGGGATTCATCCCTATTTACCTTGGGATGCCTAGAGATTAAATTTAAACATCATTTTTCTTTTACCTTATCTTCAACAGTTTTCTGCAATAAACTTGCAGTTTTAGTTGCAGTACTTGTCATCACTTTTGTTCCTTCCTTTGCAACATTAAATAAATAACCTGGAGGCAAGAAAATTAAGAATATCTAATTAAAGATACTTTAATATTAAAGATAGAGAAAATTTTTATTGATGAGTGTATGAAGTTTAAATGAAGTTTGAATAATATTTATTATATTAATAATGAATAACAAAAAATGTTAATTATCTTCCTATTACTTAATTATAAATATAAAAATTATTTGTTATTTATTGAGAACAATTATATAAAAAAAGGAATTAAAATACCATGGAGGGCAAACATTTTTTAGTACTGCATTATCTGACAAACACAGTATACACAAAAAAACAACCTGTGTTGTGCTTCATTTTCAGATTTCACAAAGTGACTTGTGGTATTAGGTTACTATAGGTATTTTCAAGCCTATTATTGGTAATAATACAGGAATTTATACCGCCCCATTTGCCAAGGGATACAAGGTGCAATAAAGCTAAATAACAAATTGGTGATCAACAATGAATGAAACAAACTTCAGACAATGAAAACAGAAAATTTTACTGTTCAGTGAGATCTACTTTGGGAACAATGTTTCTACTATTAAGATGACCAGAAAAAAAAGTGATCCAGAATTTGTAGGCCTACAATTATGGGGACAGTAAATATTTGTCTGTCTACGTTTTTTAAAAGTTAGAATACCTTATAAAAACATAACGATTGATTGCTTGATATATTTGTATATTGGTAAAGCTTCAATGGGGTTATTTATATAGTTAACAGTCACACAATATTTATTTTGAAATTGTCTAATAATTTTAATAATTACTTTCTTACTTCTCTTTTCAGCCTTAACATTTATCTCTACGGAGATTACTCACCCCTGGTCCATACTGTATCATATTTTGATTGCACAGATGATATCTTAAAAAATATGTAGCTCAAATTTACATGGAAAAATTGTTGGGAAAATAGGTACGCAGAATCGTAATTACTGCATAATACATTGGTTAGGGCTATGTTAAGATTAGGTCAAAAATATTTTTTTGACATTGTCTAATAATTCTAAAATATCTTTTTAGCCTTAACATATATTTCTATGAGATTACTTATCGCTGGTCCGTAACGTAAAATGTTTTAATTGCACAGATAATGCTACTGTACATAGCCCAAATTTGCATGGAAAATCGCTAGGAAAAAAGGTGCACAGAATCATGATTACTGCATAATACATTGGTAGGTCAAAGCCTAATTTTCTGCAAAATCTGGGCAGAAATCCTATATTTCTTGACCAAATTATTGCAAGGATATATTCCTACGCAGGTCTTACTTTACATTCTGGCACTTGGTCACTTCTTCCATGACCGAAAATATTTTTCTGAGATCCAAGAGGACATGTTCCACCCTACGTTCATAAAACAAACTTTAAATATATCCGGTCGTATACGTCCAATAAAGTGCAATACAAACAGATTGAGAAGATCGTCTATTTACAACTCAATTCACATGTACAATGCTCATTTTAATAGATAGACTATCAAACAAAATCTTGTAAATAATTGTATCATACATTCTGTATTGTTAATGTCCTATCAATTTTTTTTTTTGTCTAACTTCTAATCTTGCATCGGGAAGGCTAATTTTACTTGTATTTCATTTACAAATTGACAATAAAAAAATCTTGTATCTTGTAACAAGTTGTTTCCCCCAGGCCCCATGACTCATTGTTACGCCACTTTCAGACATTCCAACCCATTAATTTGAATGGTCCTCATATCCACACCCTACTACGGATGGTCACCAAAATTTAAAAAATTTTTCATCAAAACATGACAAACAACTGTGGAAAGGGAAATTTTGATCTATTGATTTATTCTTAGAGATATTTAGGTCTGGGACCTCAGGAATTTAAAAGACCTTCAAATTCACACCCAAATTTGGATCATCACAAAACACTTAATAATGTCTTCCTTGTAATTTGGTTTAACTTTCACGGAACTTTCATTCATATCAGTTGATTAGTTTTTGAAATATCTTGTCTAAAATGTTTGCTCTAAAATCTTCTAATTGGTCCTCACATCCACACCCTACTCCGGACCGTCACCAAAATTTAATAATTTCTTTATTGGGTTATACCTAATACTCCTGTTATTTTCAATTATGTCTGTGCAGCCATTTTTAAGATAATTCGAACACAAAAAAAAAAACAGAAGAAACACGAAAATGTTATGTACACACACACATTTACCCGACTGAAAACATATATAATAATAATTCAAATAAATAAAACTTTAATATAAACTGCAGACCGCGCCCGGCGGCCCTTGCTCTTGGCATTGAATTTGCTCCTTCGGAGTTTTGCATTGCTGTTTTCGTCTGATGCCATTTTGGTACTTATGACTGCCGTTTTGGTTTACTGCCGTTTTGACCTGCTACTCCTAGTTTGGATGAATGCATCAATTATAATGAATGACAAACAAAAAGTTAATTCAATTATCTTCTTATCAATTAATTATAAATAAATATGAATTTATTTGTTAATTATTGAGAACATACTTCCCCAATTTTGGGCTGATTTTAAAGCATCTGAAGGGTCTTCAGTAGGTTGTTGTTGAGTATCATCTACTTCAACAGAATCGTTCTCCTGTTTAGGCTCCTCGTTTTGTTTTTGGTCATTGCTTGCCTGCTGCTCAGCTGTTGATGACGATACAGTTGCATCATCAGCACTCCCGTCATTTTCACTGGTGACACTGTCTTTGTCTAGGCCTACATCTTTTTTAGGTATTTTAGTTCCCCACCAAGAACTAAAAATCTCCATTTCACAACGATATGTTTATCAAGTTAATAAAGATGATATAAACAAAATAGTAACTATGGAATACAAATGATTCCGATGCATCTAACACGAGCTACCTACAGCTCAATCAGAACAGTAACTTCGCTATTTGCAAAACGTAAACACTGCTAGTGACCTTTGCTCTTTGAACTTTCAAATATTGTTGTTCAGTTAATTAGTTTTAACACTTAAAAAAAAAATTATTCTACTATTACCGAATATTTTAGTGGATTTAAATTTATAAATTGTGTAAAACTAAATTCTGTTATTATTCTGATTTTAAGCATCCGAGGCCTATGACTCTGAGTTGACCTCAGTTTTATTCGGACTTGTGGGAATTTCGACCTCTTCGCCTAAACTGGCAAAATGGTGAGTACATGTATATGGAAATCCTGGAGTAAAATCGGCTATAATCTTATTTAATATTATATATATTATTATATTGAAATATTAATATTCCAGTATTGTTAATTATGATCAATACTTTTTCAAGATTTACTGATTTTTTGTTAAATTTCGTTGTAAAAATTGTAGTTTTAAATCGTCTAGATATTCCAGTATTTCGTGGCTTACTGTACATTACATTTGTGACACTAACAACACAGTCGATATGCAGCAGGCCTAAACTGTCTATGAATATAATTTTGAATTATATTTTCGGTATTTAGTTATTGCTGAAGCTATTAATTAATTGTGTATAATTTTATTGGATTTAAATATCGGACGACATGCAATTAAATGTCTCTTTGTACGCCAGGGCTAGGCCTCCTCTAGTAGAGTAGTAGTACTCGGGCCAGCCCTACCATCAACCACACACCAGACGTCTGCTTCGGTCTACTCCGACTCGTCATAATTGATGATGGACTAGCCTAAGATGCTGTCAATTGAAACAGTGCGTTCATACTACACTAGCTTAATTACAGGCGTAGCCTAGGCTAGCTTGATCAGCCATTTAACTTTGACAGATATTCTTTTTCATATAATAAGTAGGCCTACCTATTCAAATGTATTTCTATTGTTTTTGTACGCCTAATTTTAATCTTTTTTTTTTAGGCCCGTGGACCCAAAAAGCATCTGAAGCGCCTTGCGGCACCAAAACATTGGATGTTAGATAAACTTTCGGGATCATTTGTAAGTAAAATAATGCAAAGGTTTTTTTTTTCAATGGCTGCGGTAACTGGTTTTGCTTGAATTCTCTTTTTAGTGAAGAATTTTCAACCTTTTTTTATTATTTGATTTATAGGTCTACCTAGTTATTAGTTATTGAAGGGATTGTTTTTGTGCAGTTGCTGTTTCACATAAAAAATTCAACTTAATAAAACGTTAGTAACTATTTTAAAAATTTCTTTTTCCTTGCTTTATATAATATAGGCACCTCGTCCATCAACTGGCCCACACAAATTAAGAGAATGCCTGCCAATGGCTGTGTTCCTTCGAAATCGTTTGAAGTATGCTCTTACATACGATGAAGTGAAAAAGATCATGAAACAACGTTCCATTAAAGTCGACAACAAAGTTAGAACTGATGTTACGTATCCAGCTGGCTTCATGGGTAGGTTTTTCGTATTTAAATTGAAAAAAATCTGGTTAAAATGAAAGCTAAACTCTATCTTGAAGTTGTCTGCCCTTTTTATATCATATTTATGTCATAGATAGAAACATAATACAATGACAAACTTGATTACAAGAAAGAAATAAAAGCACTTAAAACAGTTTAGAAGTCATTAAAGCTTGACTGAATTGCTCAAAAGTAAGGACAAGTTTACGGTCAGGGAGCTCTCTGTGTTAAATCTGACGTATAAAATTAAATTAATACAGAAATTTCAAATTTTAACAGTAATGTATGTATTGTCATATGGCTGCAATGTTAGTAGGGAATATTATTTTAACTTGGCCTTTCTATAAATTTAGCCAGCTTTGTAATATCATTGATGTCCCAATAAGTGAGATGTTTTAACAAGGACTTGCTTTAATTTAGATGTGATTACAATTGAAAAGACTGGTGAGAACTTCCGTCTTATTTATGATGTCAAGGGTCGATTCACTGTTCATAGAATCGGAAATGATGAAGCAAAGGTAAGGAATGCTAGAAACAGTGTTAAATCAAGTATTGGTAAGATTGGCCTATTCGAAGTCATTTATGTGGAATTCATCATGTAAATGGTCAAATTAGGCGAACAGTAAACAGCTTTCTAAACGGTCGCCTACTGAGTTGCTATATACTCTTTTGGCATTCACCCAAGAACGCAACATAAAAAACAACGAAAATGCATTTAAACATTAGACCTAGGGTGGTAATGTGGTCCCACTAATTTAACCCCCTACGTATTTTACGCTAAGTACACTATATATGTTTATAATCAATGCGTAAGTAATTAATGTATTTTATTTGCCATGTTATCATCACATTTAAAATGAGAACATAATCCAGTCTTCATACAATTTTGTTTACAGTTCAAGCTCTGCAAAGTGAAAAAGGTGTGGACAGGAGCAAAGGGAATTCCATACCTGAGCACCCATGATGCTCGTACAGTGCGTTATCCGGATCCGTTGGCCAAGGTCCATGACACCGTCAAGATCGACATCAGCACTGGCAAGATTACAGACCACTTGAGGTTTGAAAGTGGTCAGTATTCCCTTTGTATATACTTGGGAATTTATTATAAAAAGGAAATATTTAATGACTGCCAATGAACAAATACATTCCCTGATGAATTAAACTCCTTTCCCTGTGAGCATTAGACGACGCCATCTGCTGATAGTCGTTGGATCATCAATAAAAACGATCCATTGCCTGCGCATTGTGACATTGCGCACAAGTGAGTGCCGGGCTTAAAGCTAGTAGCAGATGCTTTTGAAATATAGTTTGCATTCAGTGAATTTAGGTTATATAATCAACAATCATCACAAAATTGATACTCGCTTGTTTTTACTAAATTTCCTGTGGCAGTTTATCACAATGGCTTTAATATGGTTTTTAACAAAATTATTATTTCTATAATGTAATTTTAGTAAACATTTGCTGTACAAAAATGCTACATGTATATTATAAAAGGTACAGTAAATTAACAATTAAGCACCTCACTCGATAAATGCTATACTATTTTCAGAAGGTGAACATAAGTCAAAATGGGAAACACCACTAAGCCTCGCTTTTGAGGAAGCATGTTTCACAGTAGCCACACCTAAAGCCTCCAAAAATGTTATATGCACCACATCACTTATTTGATCTTTTAAAATAATCAAATATTTTTCTTTTTTTCTTGATAATTTCCGGTTTCCATTTAGGCAACATGTGCATGATCACTGGAGGTCGTAACTTGGGGCGTGTCGGTGTTGTAGTGCACCGTGAGAAGCATCCTGGATCCTTCGATATCGTCCATGTGAAAGATGCCACAGGTAAAACTCACCCTTGATATATACAATATGTCGTATAGACCAAAATTATATTTAAGTAAAACGCAGTCCACCTTCATCGAACCTCCTGCATTGAGACGCATATCAAGTACCAAGAAAAGGACTTGTACTGATGTAATCCAAAATATTAACAAATAGAATCCAAAACTAATTGAAATTGTGAAGTGCCCAGAATATTCTATCTAGTACAATTTTGCATAATACTGTGACAAAAAAGCTTCCTATAGAATAATCCAAGGAAATAGCTAAATAATCTTAGTTTTATCTATTTATTATATGGAAATTGGTATGGCTTTTTAAAAACAAACTACAATTACAAAGAAATAATTAATGTGACTTATAGTGCGTTACAGAATTTGGAAATAAAGTATTACTGGGTTTTTTTTCTGTAGGCCACACCTTTGCTACCCGTCTCAGCAACATCTTCATCATTGGTAAAGGCACCAAGTCCTTGGTTTCTCTTCCCAAAGGAAAGGGCATCAGGATGTCAATTGCTGAAGAGAGGGAAAAGAGACTTGCGCAGCGATAAGAAAATGTCAAGGATTTACCACCCAATGGTGAAAAAATATTCTCAGCATCCAGAAATTTAAATGACAACAGATGTATAAAGAAAAAAAACATGGAGTAGTCAATAAAAAAAATGGGTGTTTGTGCTAAGTTTTCAATAAATTGCCAATATAACACCATGAGGACATGTTTGTACTTGTGATTTTATTGTTAGTGGAATTTTTTAAAAGATCAGCAATTTCAAACAAGTGTACTTAATATTCGGCCAAAAACAAAAAATAATTTGCCCTCTTCCACCTGCACTAAACTCACCGAAAAAAATAGGGGCTAAAAAACAAAAAAAAACATTTTTTTAGCTTTTTTCTTTACAAATTAAAAAAAAATTGAGTGAATTTACCTTTATTTTTTGCCAGATGCCCTACAAAATAGTCAAGGTTGTTGTCTGATGTAAGACATTGCCTTATTCCCTTTTTCCACCATAAAAAAAAAATTATTCAAGTTAGGCAGTTGACTTTGTCAACTGTATCTGTACTGGCGCAATATAATACTGTAGCACCATAGAGAATTATTAAATTATTTATTCATTTGGTTTTCAAAATTGCTAGCAAAGCAAATCGGTGGTGTATCTAGAGTCTTAAAAACTGGGGAGGAGAGTGGATGGTGCCGGTGAGTGGGTGCTAAAGGATAACTAATTGAGTTCTGGGTCAGAATTAGGACCTATTCAGTATTGGAAAGCAATAACCACTCCACATTTAAAAGATGTCAACATCTTTGACCACTTGCGGTACACTGAAGTCCTTGCCATTCCAATAGCAACACCACTAGATAAGATTTAGTGTGTAACAACAATGAAAGTATACTGTACGGTAACATTGACACGGTTATTTGTCTACAGTTGTACATGAAGCTCGTAACCAGGATTTATTTAGGTCACCCTGTTCCAAGTCTTTATAACACCATATTTTGACAGACCCCTTCTTGAGTCTCATTTAAAATAAATCCTCCCCCCCCCCATGCAAATAACAAACCAAATCTAATGGAAGCAACATCATTCTATTAATGTTCTGTGCTGTAGTTCCACATTTACAGTGAAATTAAGGAGTGTTTATTTGAGTATATACAGTATGTATCTATTTTACACCAAAAAAAAAAAAAAAAAACCCAGGAAATTTAATTGAATAAATACATTTTTTTAATAATTTTTTTTTTTTTATGCAAATAAAGGGGATACAGGTCAAATCACTAGGCCCTCAAAAATTCAATACACTAAACACCTCACTTTAAAGGATAAAATTTATTAACTAAAACTTTTTCTATCTTTAACACTTTTACTACAACCACCTTTAAATTTACTACTGTACCTGGATCTATGCTAACAGGATACAAAAAAGGCATCTATTAATTGGCAAGTAAAATTATAACTTTGTTCAGCTGAATATAGACAGGATAAGTTGCTTATCAATGGAAGCCTAGTGAAATGAACTATTTAAATATGAAATAGGATTCAAGCATTAACTGCATTTCATGTACTGTACAATGAAAGTATACTGTACGGTAACATTGACACGGTTATTTGTCTACAGTTGTACATGAAGCTCGTAACCAGGATTTATTTAGGTCACCCTGTTCCAAGTCTTTATAACACCATATTTTGACAGACCCCTTCTTGAGTCTCATTTAAAATAAATCCTCCCCCCCCCCATGCAAATAACAAACCAAATCTAATGGAAGCAACATCATTCTATTAATATTATTAGTGTTTATTTGAGTATATACAGTATGTATCTATTTTACACCAAAAAAAAAAAAAAACACCCCAGGAAATTTAATTGAATAAATACATTTTTTTAATAATTTTTTTTTTTTTATGCAAATAAAGGGGATACAGGTCAAATCACTAGGCCCTCAAAAATTCAATACACTAAACACCTCACTTTAAAGGATAAAATTTATTAACTAAAACTTTTTCTATCTTTAACACTTTTACTACAACCACCTTTAAATTTACTACTGTACCTGGATCTATGCTAACAGGATACAAAAAAGGCATCTATTAATTGGCAAGTAAAATTATAACTTTGTTCAGCTGAATATAGACAGGATAAGTTGCTTATCAATGGAAGCCTAGTGAAATGAACTATTTAAATATGAAATAGGATTCAAGCATTAACTGCATTTCATGTACTGTAATTTTCTAAATAATCTTAAGGTAACAGTACTCAAGAGGTGGCCAAACATTTTGAGGAAATTGATATAGTCTTGAGATCTTGTAATGAAAGTAGTGGAACTATGGAAGTAGAATTGAATAGCTTAGCGGTTAAGATGCTTGCTTCAGAATTCCAGAGTCCTGGGTTCAATTCCAACTCCACTCCCTAAGCCTCATATAGAGACTTAGTTTATAAAACATCATTCCATCCTGCAAGTGGCAAGTTTACTTGCAGTTGGATGTGAAGGAAATAAATAAAAAAAATATAAAGTACTACATCACATCAACCCAATTTAAAATTTCTGTTTTACAATGAACTTGAATTATCACATATATCACCATTTCCTTGATTAATGCACTCTTCAATTTTTTAAATATCTTTATATATTTAGGCACACAACACATGCCAAGAATTGTCAATAGCGAATATATCACTGTCCTACTTCGTGACAATCCCTTACACACGACAAATATACACAAATGATGCTTTACACGACCTAAATCTCAATATGAGGTTTAAGGAATGTAGTTGTTTTGGTCGTGAGAAAAAATCCTGCAATACAGACAGAAATTGAAAGATCAAAATTTCATAATTAGACATGAATAGTGGTGGATTTGGCCTCTAACTCTTAATCGATTGTGACCAATGTGATTTTTAGAGGGGAAAAATGAAATTTGAAATAATCACTGAACAAAACCAATCTTAAATTGCATCCATATAAATATTAGGCCAAAAAAAAAAATGGTTTGGAAAACCAAAAAAAAAGGTTTTTTTAGCTTTTTCTCAAACAATTAATTTATATTTTTCAGGCCTTGTCTGGAGTGCTAAAAAATGGTACTGTATAGTCTGTAATACACTATAGCGCCAAAACACAAATGCTCCTGGCAGTCATGATATATAAACGATATATGATATGATATATAAATGTTAAAAAAACTAAACATGTCAGCTGCATTAACTAGAGGCAAGGAGCAGGTGGGATTTTGTTGGTTGATAAATAGATATAAAGTGGTGGTGTGGTCACCCTTGATTCAGAATGGGTGGTATGATAAGCACCAATATTCTTAATGATGGTATGGTACCCCCTTCTATCTGTGAGTGGTAGTACAGAAACTTATTGAATCGGTAAGTAGTGGAGTGCTACACTCTGATCCGTGAGCGGTAGCTGTTAACGTTCAATCCATGAGTAGTGTGGTACCACCTCTATCTAAGAGTGGCGACATGGTACCCTTTAAACCGTTGAGTGGTGTTCATGGTATCACTTCACTTCATTAAGTGTTGGTCTTATACACCCTCCAATCTGTGTGAGGTGCTGTAATACTGCCCTCAATCTGTTCCAAAGTACTTTGTTCCAAAATGATTGGGAGTGGTAGTGTGGACCTCTGATGTTAATATTGTTATATCTCTTGCTTTGTTAATGACAGCTCTAACACCTGAAATTAAAGAAAACAAATTAGTGAACAATATTTTAAATGAAACTACTCTAATTACATATTCAAGTAGAGCAGTCACTCATACATCCACTCCAACCCCAGGGTTGTAGCTGTAGAAAACTACAGGTGGGTGATAGACATTTTAAGGGTGGGTAGGTGATAACATTAATACTCTAAATAATAAGAGTGAAAGGGTGGGTGGAGGGCCATGATATTAGCTTTAGACTAGGTGGAAAACTTAAAGGTTGGGTGGCCCAGCCCACCTTAACTACATCTCTACATCCTGTACCTGAATACCGAACAATACGCAGGCTGTGCTTAGAGATTCTATTATTTTGTTTTATTCTCAAGTGTAAAAAATAGAATTTCTGTAACCTTGACCTTTGCTTCCTTAAAGTTAATCATCTCTTAGATTATTATGTACCATTCCACTAAATTTTATGATGATACATTTCTTAGTTTTTTCGTAGAAGATTAACATATATATTTATCAAACAATGCAGGGGAGCACAGCAATTTTTGGACATGTGCACCACACACTCCCATAAAAGCCAATTGATAACTTACCATGTGGGGTGCAGAATAAGGTAAGCAATATTATATTACAATCTTTGACTCCATGCTCCCGTAGCACTCTTACTGCCTGTATCACTGTGTTTCCTGAATCTGTTGGTAACAAGGTAAACATTAAAAAATGATATCAAATAAAAATAATTAGGTTACTTTCACTTTATTTGAAATCCAATGAGCCAAAGTTAATGAGTTTTGCAGTTACATCACTTTAAATATGCTTACTGCATGGAAACCGTGTCATCTAACAGTTCAGATTTTACTCAAGAGCAGTGGTCAGAAATTTGCTGACTGGAGATCCAACATGTCTGACAGGGGGTACGAACCAAGGGACAACTAGAGCCTCGGTCAGGGTCCTGGAATGAAAATTCCTGATAGGGTTCACCAAGTTTTTATGGCTTACAACAGTAGCATGGCACACAAATACCGTTATGTGGATAACCAAATTATTATTTTTGATCTGATGACCCCGTTGTGGCATCAGACGATTGGGGTCCAGGCCTGTCCGAAAAGGGGTGCCATCACTACTCAAGAGAAATTCTGACGAATTTATTTATTGCTGAAACTTACTTAATATAGGGTACATAAGCAAGACCTTCCGGTTGTGAATATCCGATGGGAATTTTGCATAAAATACTTTCGCTTCTCCGGTATCATCATTACTCTTAACTAGGATTTTGCCGATGCGGATGGAACGGCAGCAATCCCTTAATCCATGTTCCATAGCTTCACCTATTTACATGTAAAATACAAATTGTCAAGTTAACAATTTTGTTAAACATTTACAAAAACAAAGGTGATCATCATAGTGCAATCTTGGCTGTACACTACCACAACCAGTATTTAATACTAACTGCATTTTCATTTTTCAAGGGTGAATCCAGAATATTTTTAATGAGGGAGCACCAATTTCATATACGCCTAGATGTAATATAATTAAACAGATAAATAAGCATCTAATAATGGTATGCTTTGTGTTATACTGTATATCATTTACTATTTGCATGTATGGGGAGGGGGCATGTCTCCCTCCTTGACCGTCACTCAATTTATACTCTAGGGTATACACTACAAAATACCCATTAGATTTTTTTAATGTTTCCTGAATTTTTGCTATGTTGGGCTACCATAAATCATAAAACCAAATGTAGTATAAACCCTTATTATTATGTTCCTGTGGATTACTTTTTAAAACAAATCGTCATAATTTTTCAAACAGATTTCAAGAGTATTTATATTTGTGACTTTGTACTTATTGATTCACATTAATATAAAGCTCTGTGCAGATTATCAAATTTTGTATGCCCATATATAGTCATAATGTGTCTATATATGGTCACGATGTGATGTTATTATGACCATATTTAGACATGTCACAAGTTTTTTTTTTTATAGTCTGGACAGGGTTTAAAGCTATGTAACAACAAATTAATAAATTGAGATAAAATTTGGTTGACCTACCACTTCTCATGATGCTCACTCCACAGTTTCCCTTGGCAAATTGAATGCCGTCAAAGTGATGGCCAGTTGGTGTGGTCACCACACATTGGGTGAAGGGTAACTGGTTCAACCCTTCTTCAACCACTAATCTAATCTAAAATGGAAAGAACAAATGGTAAGTATACAGCAAAGCAGCAAGCAAAGTACACAGGTGATTATTCAGGACACTTGATGCTCTATATGAGCGCAGATCATGGAGAAGGGAGACACGTTCCCCAACATATTTGTAAGGGGGGGGGCGGGATTTGTACCCCCAATTTTCGACTGCAACTCAATTTCATAAGTCAAGACGATGGCTGAAAATTGTTGAAATGAACTGTATAAATGACCCAGATTATAAGCAAAGAACGTTCTGCAGCAATTTCATGCCGTTAAATTCCTACAATTTTTGTACAATTAAAATTGTAAAGATGATGTTATGATACAAACGTATGTTTATATATAAGATCATGAGAAATTTGTTGGGAGCTTCACTTTTACAATAACTTTACTTCTATAACTGGGACGTAAGCCATTAAAATGACCCTCAAATTTACACCTTAACCTGGATCGTCCCCTACACATAATAAATATCTTTCTCGAAAGTTTCATTCGGATCAGTTGACCAGTTTTTGAAATATCTGGTCTGGGACGTTTTCCTTTCAATGGTCCTCAGATTTACACCTGTCTCTTATACACATCTAGATGTGTATAAGAGACAGCTCACATCACGAACTAACACAATTGAATTCAATTGTGTTAGTTCGTGAAATCAAAAAAGCGCGTCAAAATACGCGCTGTTGTCGTTAAGGACTTTTTGTGTGGTAAAGAATACAAAATTGCTAGACAACCAATACGCGCTCGTTTTGACGCGCTACTGTGATTTCACGAACTAACACAATCTACTTTGATTGTGTTAGTTCGTGATATGAGCGACGGAATAAAGAAATTAATGTAGGATGCGTGTTAATAATCATAATGCGTACAAAACATAAAACAGTGAAATTCGTCCACAATACCATTTTTCATTTTTACATAAAGGACAGATTCGTTCATCTACTGGGGTATTATTGTATCTGCCTGTTTCAATAAAAACCAATTTAGA